TCTGCTTCATCCTCTGCTTCAGCCTCTGCTCTGCTTCATCCTCTGCTTCATCCTCTGCTTCAGCCTCTGCTCTGCTTCAGCCTCTGCTCTGCTTCATCCTCTGCTTCATCCTCTGCTTCATCCTCTGCTTCATCCTCTGCTTCATCCTCTGCTTCAGCCTCGCTCCGTTCAACTCACTCTGCAGAGTTTTTAAAAACTTTATTCAGTCAGCATTAACAAAGCTCTGCAGGCGAACAAAACGGCTCTGCAGCGCCATGAGAGATGCAGAATCGCGCAACACAACTAATCGATAATGGAATTCATTGCCAACACTTTTAATGATCAGTTTTTATTGATTTTTATTGATTCGTTGTTGCAGCCCTAAAAGTATTACTTTATTTAATTAATTTGGGCTGCTCCCTTCTCCAGGTGTTGCCACAATGAACTAACTCGAACAAATTCTTGGCAATTATTTTTACACCGGGTGTCCTCCACAGACACCGAGCTACCACAGCCTCTGTGTGGAGCAGAGAGCTGCCATCTAGGGCACCGTGGGGGGGTTAAGGGCCTTGTTCAAGGGCACAGGGTGGGGCAAATGAGAGTGGAGGCAGGTGTGGGTGCTTCACCTAGCCCACCCAAATTTTGATGTTTGTACGAGGGAGTCGAACTGGTGACCTTCTAATCACAGGCTCGCCGTCTCTAACCTCTGCGCCACCACTCTCCCCACTTAGTAATAAAGTATTAATGAATAATTTAAATTAGGATAAGAAATCAGAAAAAATAATAAAACTAAAAGATTGTAAACATTTAACGTATAAAAACACTGATATATTTTCACGTCGTACGTTCTTTAGTTTAAAAATATGATAAAAGTAGTGAAGTACTGCGTGCATCGTTAGATTATATAATCTGTGCAGTGGTTCCAGCTGTTCAAACATTCCTGACTGTTCCTTTCAAAGAGCGCTGACGTGCAGAAAACTGAAAACTCAACGTAAAACATCCACTGGTTAACTGGTCACCATTAACTTCACACAGACTCTCCCACTGGTACATTTTCATCTTTAAATCACTTCCTGGTCTGCTGCCTTCATACATCTCCTCCTACATGTCTCTGTGTGAGTGCAGCTACAGCGTGCGCTCTCAGGACATCATTACCTGCAGTGTTCCCTCAGTGAGGACTGAACTAGACAAAAGGGCCTTCTCCTACTCCGCTCCTGTTTCCTGGAATATCTTACAAAAAGATCTGAAGCTCTTGACCTTTGACCTCTCTAAGTGGCTTCAAACATCTGTTCAGTTCCTGCAGATGTTCCTGTTTTTAGTTTTCTACGCCGTCTTACAATGTAGCTGTTTTTATTTAGTTTTATATAATTTCTTCTTTACACTTTTCATATTATATGTTTTATATAAGTGTCCATTGTTGTCCTCAGTCTTTGTTAAACCAGGTCTCTGTGTAAATGAGTCCTCGAGGCTCAATGAGACTCACCTGCAGAAATTAAGGCTGAATGAATGAAAAACAAAAGGACTCCAAACCAAAACTATAAAATCATTTTTCTTACATTTAAAAAAACATTCACCAAAATTATTGTTGACTTGTGTTGTGTGTTAAATTCCAGTATTTGAATCAGGGTTGATGACTCTTATCTCCGGTGATGAGCTGCGTAGTGTCTCAGCATACCAAGATGTTTAGGACAATGTTCTGCTTACAGCTTTGTAATAACATTTTTGGGAACAAATCTTTTTATTGCTATAAAATATACCCTGGTGTCATAACAATGATTAAAAAGTCATGGTCTAAGTTGCCTTAACCCGACCCTGCCAGCTCCATGCCGCACCTTTGAGATGAACTAGATCAGAGGTCGTGAGCCACATCTTCTCACCAACATATCTACTCCACCTGATGAATGCTCTGCACAAAGGAATGGGGTAAAAATGTTACAAATCTTGTGGGAAGCCTTGCAAGAAGAGTGCAAGAAGTTGTGCAATAGATGGGAAACAGAGACCAACTTAGGGGCTGAGATGGGGTAGAGGCAGGGCAGCCGACTTGGGACCAGGAAGTTACGGTTCAACCCTCTGCCATGCCCACCTGTCGTGGTGCCTCTGAGCAAGACACCTACTGGTAATCCCTAACTGCTCCCCGGGCACCTACACAGCTGCCCACTGCTCCACCTGGGTGTCTCTCAGGTGATGGGTTAAATGCAGAGAACCAATTTGACCATTGTATGGAGACATACACTGATGACAACCTGAGACTTCTCCTCACAACTTCATATAGAGGCCCTGTTAGCGTAATGGCCAAGTGTGGCTAAATGTTTATATAGTTTGTTTCCTGGTTCGTGCTCAATAATCCAGGTGGAAAAATCCAGCCAAGTTCAGTCAGGTCCTCTGGACGGGTTCTTTCTGTTGAGACGTTTCGTCTTTTATCCAGAAGACTCAGTCTGAGGAGCCACAACAAGCTCAGTCTTACAAACAGCACCTTCACATAGTGGGTCAAGCAGTTTGATGGTGCTCAGGTGGTTTCTGGAGCCCGCCCTCTCCCCCGCCGCCTTGTTCCAGGCAGTCATGGTCAAAGTGGTTCAAAAGTGATGAAGTGTTTGGGTGAAAGACGAAATGTTTCAACAAAAAGAAACCGTCCAGAGGACCTGGCTGAACTTTGTTGGGCGTATAATTTATTGTTGTTCCTTTACTGTAGTGCTGCAGCATGAATCCACATGGACTGGTCATGAGGATGGAGAACCTTCACCAGCGCAGGACTGCAGCACATTTATCAATCTGACTAGACGGCATTAGATCAGGATGTAACTGGTCGTCTTGTATTACACGTTCAGCATGCGTCTCTGCATTGACAGGTAACTTCCAGCGTTCATCAGGTGCGTTCAGCAAACATCGTTTTACCTGAAGCCGTCTGTGAGAACACATGAATGTGGTTCAGTGCAGCAGAGGTCGTGTTTGTGCCACACCGTGTACAAAAGCTCTGCTGCAGCGGCTCATGTTGCTTCAGGATATTTTTCTTTACTGTTCCTCAAACTGAGCAGATGAAATGTAAATTGGAATATTGCTCCGTCCCCGACGTGTCAGTCCTCTGAGCCCCAGGTGTTAGACGGGGCCGGGTCTTTGATAACAAAATAAAGAGCCGCGTGTTGTCGTTGCACAATGATGCTGTGCATCTAACCACACCTGCACATCAGTTTTCTGATTGATGACTCTCCCCCTCGTTCATGTTCGTCAACAATGGGGGTGTCTCCCCCCACAACCCCACGGCTCATCTTTCAGTCGCCAAGGCAACCGTCAGAGGAGGTCGATCGGGTCAGCGTGGACGTGGAGGAGACTTCAGATTGTCCCGGCGGTGAGGTGACAGAGGAGACGTGAAATGCCGGGAGTTCATTTAGCATTCCAGTCAGTTACAAGGTGTGATTTGTTGAAAATGTCACGCAGTCAGTCGACTGTGAGCTGCAAGAATCTTCTCCTGGAGCAGAGCGAGCTATCGGAGTCACGTTAATTCCTCTGGTCCGGGGAACCAATATGACGGAAATGATCCTGCCTGCCTCGGGCTTTCTAATCAAAACGTTATTCCACCAGCACAAATGAAACAAAATCCCTCAGGACGCAACAAAAGGCTGAGAAATAGAAAAAAGGATTCCTTCAAAGTAAAGTGCTGTAAAGTTGAGAGGATGGATGCTGATGGTGTTTTTTTGTGGCAGCTCCATCGCAGTGTTTGCCTGAAGTTCATGAAATTGCTGCAGGTGGAAGTAAATTGTAGATTTGTGATTTGAAATTGGAACGCAGAGATTTCTTCCTCCAGAAAAGCAGAAAGAAAACTTCTGTAGAAGGTGGCTTCACAGGCATGATCCCCTAAAAAATAAAAACTGGTGTAGTTAGGTGCATGTAGCAACGTGCACAGTGTGATGTAGCACAGAGGATGAGATTAAAACTGATTTATTCTGTAAAATCTCATTATTTTTCTTGACCAAACACTAAAGACTAATTTTAATCAACTCAAACTACTGAACAAATGTTACAAAACAAGCATTTGTAGCACAGGAATAAAAATTCTCCAAAGTTATCTAAACCAGTGGTTCCCAACACTGGTCCTTGAGGAACACCATCCTGCATGGTTTAGTTGCTTCTCTGCTCCATCACGCCTGATTTGAATGAACGGGTGATTATCAGGCTCCTGCAGAGCTTGAAGAAGTGATTAAATGAATCAGGTGCAGAGAAACAACTAAAACATGTAGGATGGCGTTCCTCAAGGACCAGAGTTGGGAACCACTGAGATTCTAAACTGACATGTTTCTCATTTAACTGTTGGAATAATATTAGAGGATAAACTGTGAATGTCTAATCTGTCATTTCTGTGGTTTTTGTGCAAACAATGTCTGTTGTTGCCTTTTCTCCCATGTCCCCGTCTAAACTGAGAACAAAACTAAACACAACACCGTCCTGTTTCAAACCTGTGTACGGTCAACTAAACTGAAGGATTCGTACACCCTCAAAATGTGTTTTTTACCCATGATTCTGTAAAACTCCAGTTTGTACTCAACTCAAGCTTGGGCGGGTTTGTAAGAGAATTTACTGAATCGAAATGTGATACTTGAAGCAACACTCGATAAATCTGGGAGGAGAAAGTTATTTTCAGTGAAACCTTTTTGAATTAAGTAACGTTACCTTAAACACTTTAAGTGTGTTGGATTACTGACACACACCTTTTCTTCTGAAGCGCCTCCACAGTGAACTTTGGCCTTTTTGGAGGCACCGACGGCCAAAATGTTTTCCAAAATTATGAAGGAGGCTTAAAATGAAAATATAAAAATTAATAAGAGCTGAGTCCCTGGAGAGCTGTTTGCAGTCAGAACATCCATCCACCATCTGTCCATCATCCATCCTTCCATCATCTGTCCATCATCCATCCATCATCCATCCACCATCTCTCCATCATCCATCAATCCATCCAGCATCTGTCCATCCATCCATCCATCCATCCATCCATCCATCCATCCAGCATCTTTACCTGCTTCTTCCTTTCCGGGTCATGGTGATCAATGGTGCCCAAATTCAGCAGTCACTGTGTGAGAGGTGGGGGACACCTGGACAGGTCTCCAGTCCATCACAAGGACATCTAGGGACAATTTAGAGTTACCAGTCAGTCTAACATGCATGTTTTTAGTCTATGCGAGGAAACCAGAGTACCCGGAGACAACCCACATATCACAGAGAGAACATGCAAACTCCACCCAGAAAGGTCCCTGGCCGGGGTTTGAACCGGCGACCTTCTCGCTGAGAGCAACAGCTCTACCACCTGAGCCACAGTCAGACCATGGAGTGACAAAACGTCCCCACCTTCTCTGGTTGGGAGCTGAGCCCAGCAGGACTGGGTTAGGGGGCTGCTGGGCTGCAGTATTCTTGGAGCAACAGTCTGCTCGTTACTGAAGTGGAGCTTTAGGTGTACCTTTTCAGTCCTGGCGTTGGTTAAGATGATCGGGGTGAGCAGCTGTGGCTGAGTGGTTAGAGCAGTCGTCCTCCAATGCAAGAGTTTGGGGTTTGAATCCACCAGCAGTCACATGCTGAAGTGTCCCTGGGCAAGACACTGAACCCCTCATAGCCTCTGATGTGTGTCCCATCAGTGAATGAATGTGATAAAGCTCTGATTAGTCTCTTTAGAATGATTTGTTCAATTGTCTTTGTACAGATCTAGTATAGAGCTGTATGAACGGGTACATGAGGCACTGATGGTTGTGAAGAGCTTTGAGTGTCTTGATGAGATGAGAAGGTGCTGTAAGTACAGTCCATTTACCATTTACGTAAACCTTGTACTGAGACCAGCCTCCGGGATCTCAAAGGATGTTTATTGTTTCTATACATGGCCACAAACTGGAAGACAAAATAAAATGATTGAGAAAGTGTAATTTTATAATTCCTTCTTTACATAAGAATGATGAGCTCACAGTCAAACCTTTACGAGTGCATTCTTAACGTTCAGAAGATACCAAACCACCTCTTGAGAGTTCTCATCACATTAGATTTGTGTATTTGAAGCTAGATGTTCCTCATTCGGTGCGGCTGTATCTTAAACTGCCTAACGCTTGTTCCTCGATGGCAGGAGTTCAACCCAGAGGAGTTCTACCACCTGCTGGAGGCTGCCGAGGACCACGCCAAGGAGGGGCAGCTGATGAAAGCAGACATCCCTCGATACATCATCAGTCAGCTGGGGCTGACCAGAGACCCACTGGAAGGTGAGCCTGAAGCTTTACTGGACACTACAGGACCACCAGTTCTTCATTTGTAGACCAGCATCACAGGTTCACTTTGTTCCTTGAAGGTAAATCAGAAGATCAGTACCACGCTCATGTCCATCAAGAGCCGACCTGGAGCCAGGGAATGGATCACCATCATGTTTGGAAGCAGACCCGCTGTTTGTGTTCATGAAGGAATAAAACAGTAGAAACCAGAACAACCAGTGCATGAACGGGTTCCCACCAAGCTGGAAATCAGGGAAATTTCCCTGACAGGAAAAAATCTGAGAATTTGAGAAAAATCAGGGAAATCTCAGGAACTTGAACATTGATTTTTTTTGGTTAAAGATATCTGGACATGTTTTTCTATAAATGCCAGTGTTCCAGTAGCAATGGGTCGGCGCTCTGCTTCCACAGTTCATGTTTCCTGACTGACCCACTGCTCCTGTAGCTTTTAGTCTCTAATGTGATTCACTTCAATCGTTCAATTAAATTTCAATCAGAAAGGATTCCAGTTGTAACCGCTTCATAACATAGTGTTAAATCAATCACGGCAGCAGTAAATCCTTTCCCACCACCTGAGACAGGAAGTTCTGAGCGTGTCGTGCAACTGAAATTTCTCCTGGAACGTCAGGATTTATTCAGAGAAGAATCAGGGAAACTTGTGGGAACCCAGTTTCCATGAAGGGAACCCCGATACGAAAGCTTGAATGTGTCATGATGGATGTGTTGCTGTTGTTGCTAAATGGACATGGAGTGGTGTTTAAAAGACTGAATGTCCTTCCTCTCTCATCAAGGCTCTATTTTATATTTCATCTTGTGTCTCGACGCTCCTAAAATGAGTTCTTCAGTTTGGGTCTGGACTTAAGGGCAGAAACTGGTGCCATCAGAAACTGAGCTTGAATTGTTCAGACTGAATCTGTAATCACATAAATTAAATCCACTGGTTTGAAGATAAATGTCACGGAATTTAAACTGAATTTGATGGTTTCAAACTGTATTTTGTTTTACTGAAAACTCAGTTTGACGACTGGACTTTCATTTTCAGCTCTATGACTCAGTTTCAATTCCAAAATTCAGTTTTTTGTGTCACGTCCGGGTCCGTGTGAAAGTCACGGAGTAATGGAACGCAGCTCGACGTCAGTCAAACGTCCTTTACAGAAATGTAGGGATGGGGTTCAGCCTCCTGGAGGCGGTGATGCAACAGAGAGGAGGCAATCCACCGTCAAACACCAGAGAAGAAGAAGAACTTCCTTTACTGCGTCTTTTGCACTGGAGCAGTGGCGTGCACATGAACTTGCACGCCACTGCTCTGAGGCTTTCTCACAGACCCAGATGTGTGACACAAAAAACTGAACTTTGGAACTGAAACTGAATTCTAGAAGTGAAAATGGAAAAAGTAAATTTTCAGTCCAACCAAATGCATCCTGATGCTGCTCAGTAATCTAACACAGAAAATGTTGGATTGTATACCTGGATTATTGAGCATGGACTTTGTTGTTTTCAACAAGTTTGACAAGACTGTCAACAAGGAAGAGGGCCGGCAATGGAGGAGGGGGCGTACCAAAGAGACCATCTAATCACAAGCAGAACTGGTTTGTTCCACTTTGGAGTAAGCTGTTGAAGAAGAATCAGTTTTGTTGTGTGTTTCCTTGACTGATGAAGCCTTCTGGATCGAAGGCGAAATGTTTCAGCACACAAAAAAAGAAACTGTCCAGATGACCTGACTGAAAAGTGTTGGATTGTATACCTGGATTATTGAGCATGGACTTTGTTGCTAACGCAGTTAAGTCAGGTCCTCTGGACTGATTCAAAAATATAAATAAAAAAAACAATTAAATCCAGTTTCAAACCATTAAATCCAGTTTCAAACCACTAAATCCAGTTTCAAACCATTAAATCCAGTTTCAAACCATTGAATCCAGTATCAAACTATTAAATCCAGTTTCAAACCATAAAATCCAG